AACACCAAAGCATGTCTTCCTTTGGCTGATTTTCTATAACCTTTCTCTATGATGAATTGTGATGTAACGTTGAGTATAATAGTTTTCAGTGAGTTCTGTAAGTCTTTCTAGAAAATTACAAAACCTGAGGGTGGCTTAAGAACCCCAGCAAACTTGTAGTTGGTGTTCAAAGTAAGAGCAGTCTTGGGGATGGAACCCTGAGACCTTACAGTTCCTTTCAACTCCAGGTAGACAGGAAGAGATGATTAACATAAAAAAAAGAAGGAAAGAAGGTAAATAGATCATAAACATTTGAAAATGTGTTCAATGTCGCTCAAAATTAAAGAAATGCAAATTAAAAAGAGGTTACCATTCTTCATCTTTCAGATTGGCAAGATTTAAAAGATTAATAACACCTAAGGCTGGCCAAGTTAGCTCAGTTGGTTAGAGCATGGTGTCAGTAACACCAAGGTCAAGGGTTTAAGACCCCTGTACTGGCCAGCTGCCAAAAAAAAAAAAAAAAGATAACACCTGGGGTATACAGAAATAGGCATTCCCATATCTCTTCTACACTATAAGCATAAGTAAAATTTTTTTTCTTATAGGGCAGTTTAGAAATATCAAAACTATAAAATTCCCTTTGGCCAAGTAATACAATTTTAGAAATTTATTCTTCAGATAAATATATATCAGCCACAAATAATATGAGCAAGAATGTTCATTATAGAAATTAGAAAACAACTAAATGTTAATCAACAAAAACCAAATAAATTAAAGACATAATTGTGGGCTACATAACCTTAAAATTAATTAATCTATATAACGGAACTGGAAAGCTGTCACGTTAAATGAAAAAAAAGCAGTCTGTAGACTAGGAGTACAAAATTATCCCACTTGTGTAGCAAAAAAACAAAATCATACCAAAATATTAGTGTATTTGTGAAGGCAGTAAAATACCTGGAAGAATACTGGCAAACTGCAAACTGGTGCTACCTGTGAAAAGTGAATTCAGGAAGAACGGGGCAGGGGACTGTAATCTTTAAAATTTTTTAACGTACACAAACAGGGCATTAAATTAAATAAAACTCCAAACACAGGGTCAGATCAAACTATAAATTTTCAAAAAAAATTTCTGAGAAACAGTTTCACAACTTTAAAAATGCCTCCTCACATCAATGATATGAAAAGCTGGAGAGAATGAAGATGACGAGAGAAGATGCAGAAGGTTTCTTTGGAGAATGTTGGAAGGTACTTTGAGGTCCCTCCACTCCCTCAAGTGGACAGAGGGTGGGGGAGGAGCCTGCTCTTACCTTAAGCCACACAAGAGACCTTCCCAATGGGGTCCTCAAAGCAACTGCTATGTCACTGTGCTCAGAGAGCCCACAGATTGATGCATGACTCCCGCCAGGAAATTCAGAAGCAAGGACTGGCTTAAGTTGCTTTAGCAAGTGAGGGTTGCTGCTGCGTAGGAATCGGCCTGCCCCTCCAGAATAAAGAACTCAGGAGTGTTCCCTTGATAGCAGCGTGGGGTGAAGGAGCTCTTAGATCCTGACCCTGGGCAACCAGAGAGGAGTGCGGATGACAGACTTCAAAAGAGAGGAAGGCAGAGGCACCAGGCACAGCAGAAGGAGAAAGTGACGACCAAGAGTACACTTCTCAGAGTACATCGGCTCAGTGCAAGGGACTCGCCGGGGAGATGGCCATGGAAAACGCTCCATGGTAACAGAGTCAACTTGAAACACCTACCAAGGAGAGCACAAAGTCATCTTATGACAGCACCAAATAAGAACCTTCTTACTTCTCTTTAGGTCCTGCCTCCCCCTGTCCGTTCTACAAATTCTAAGGAGATCCAAAACAGAAGCTAACAAAAATGCCAGGAAGTAAATGACAAAGAAGAGAGTTTTACCCTCTTCTTTGGAATTAAATTGGAATCTTTGACTGTTACATAGGACTGGACATTCTACTGCCCAATTGAGGCTAGTGGGTGTCTTAAAGTGCCTATCAAACTTTATTAGCTAGCAATGACCAGAAAAGTCATCAAGTCTGCTACAGCTTGCCTCCAAAGACAGGGTGAGGCAGTTTACTAGGCCAGTTTAGAGAGACAGGGAAACTCAAAATAAACCAGCCTCTATGATAACTTCCCAAGAGTATCCTTGTTAAATACACAAGTTATACCAGTATTCTTTACTTTTAAAAGCTTTTTTAATGATTTTTAAATATGGTTATAAAGACTATCTGGGAATATAAAATACATTTTTATAATAAAAGATTTAGGTGCGTATGAAACAAAAATCAAAATAAGTATTCCAAATACTAACAATGATTTTTCTGGGGAAGTAGTTATTGATAAGTTTTCCCCATTTCTCTCTTTTCTAAATTTTCTTTATTACAGTTATGTTAATGTAGTGAAAAAATTTTTAACTAGACAAAAGTAAAAAACTTGTTCAGTTTATTTCCCTAAAGTACCATTTATTACATATGGGGCCATCCAGAGTAAAAACAGAGGGTCCTCATGCTTTATGAAAGTAGTAAGTTCTTAAAGACCTTATATAATGCAAAACTATTCATTCACAATTAGTCATATCAAATATGGGAGATATTCCCATATGGCAATGTCACAAATGGTTGATAATTCAGCTGATACTAGTTTTGTTTTGTTTGTAGTCCCTCCCCCACCCCACCCCCCACAATGCTTTTTATTTCAAACCCTCATTAAAGTGAAGAGTTGCAAGCAGCAGTGAAGACCCATATCCCCTTTGCCAACATTGCCCACTTCTCCTCTGTGTGTACGGGCACACATATGCATACACAAGTATGTGCATCACTAAATGGCTGTACCACCTGAAAGTATGTTGCAGACACCATGAAACTTCACCTTAAACACTGCAGAATCCATCTCCTAAAAAGAACACATTATCCTACACAACCACGAAACCATAACTTACAACTAAGAAAATTCAAAAAACTTCAACATTATCTAATAAAAAGTCTTCTTCAGATTTATGCAAATGTCCAGACAATAGCCTTTTCTCTCCGACCAAGATCAAAGTTTACACAATGCATCTGGTTATGTTTCATTGTCTTTTTCAATCCTTGAAAGTTATCTCCCTCCATGTTTTACTGTTATTATTTATCATAGTCATACTTAGAGAGTCTCATAGACTGACATACATTCTACATCTGTCTGTCATGATTAGAATCAGGATAAACATTTTTGACACAAAACTACATATGTTAGTTCTCCCCTTATCTACGGCTTCACTTCTCCAGTTTTAGTTAACTGCAGTCAACCGCAGTCCGAAAATAGTAAACGGAAAATTTCCCAAGCAAACAATTCATGAGTTTTAAATTGTACACCATTCTTGAGCAGCATGATGAAATCTCATGCTGCCCCACTCTGTCCCACCCACAATGCGAACCATTCCTTTGTAAAGCATAACCATGCTGGACTCGCCCGCTAGTCAGTTAGTAGGCATCTCGGTTCTCAGATCAAATGTCACAGTATCACAGGCTTGGGCTCAAGTCACCCTTATTTTACTTACTAATGGCCCCAAAGCACAAGAGTAGTGTTGCTGGTATACTGTTATAATTGTTCTATTAGTTATTGCTGTTAATCTCTTACTATGCCTAATTCATAAATTAAACCATACCAAATATAGTGTATATATAGCTTGGTACTATCTGTGGTTTGAAGCATCCTTTGGGGACCTTGGAATCCAGATAAGGGGGGATGACTGTAGATGATATTGTGTGTGTCAAGAGGCACATAAGGCCAAGTTTTACTGCTAATGATGGTGCTAAATTTGATTGCTTAGTACAGGTGGGATCACCTGTTCTCTCCATTTGTAAAGGCACATTTTTCCCTTTGTCATTAGTAGATAATCTGTGTGGAAGGAGGTTTCCACTCATCCATTTATTTTTGTCACTTCTAGGTGGTTTTGTTTCTGAGAGGATATTCTGAGACATTGTGAATATCTGTTCCCTAGAGACATTTCACCCAATCCTTGCTTAAATCAATTATTACATGAGGAATTACAAACAGGTGGTTTTCTGATTCTATCATGCCTTCTACATTCACTGTACTTACTGTCTGGAAACCTTGTCCTGTACTCCCACCCCTGCTTTGTTTCAGTAGCACAAGAATTGATTTTTTTTTTTAATTTGATGTAAAACAATCCATTATGTTCATTAATCTTTTAAAAGTTTAAATTGTCCCTTCAAGTTAGCTCCTACGTCCTTTCGACGTGCCTCCATCAGCCTCTGAGGACCTGCCTGTTCAATTCCTCTTACTACTCTCCCTTTGCCAATCAGCTATTTCACCAAGGAGCCCTAGCTTCCTTCATGGAAAATGATATTTAGAAATCAAGGTCTGAGTGCTCAGTATGTTCATCATTTCTAGGTCTATGGCATAATAAAAAATATACCTGGTCTTTGACCCCAGTTCTTGGCATACACCTCCAGAAAAGCGTGGTGTTTCCTAAGTGGTAGAAGTGTCTTTGTGGTGATCATTAGATCACTGGGATCTACTGCACTGTCCATCCTCACACTCTTCTAATTACTGAGACAATCACAGCCTAGACCAACACCTCCTCAATTCCTAGGGCTGATCTCAACACCTGAAGGCCAGTGTGGCATCCTGCAGCCCCAGCACCATGCAGACCACCCAACAGGGAAGCAAACTCACACCAGGGTTCCCCCTAGGATCTCAGCGATACTAAATGTTACCATGCTGTTCTTCCTCGTACAGCCCTGAACAAAGTCTCTCTAACCATCCACCCTCTCTTCAGTCCTTGTCCTAAAATCTCCTGCTTATCCTCCTACAAGCCCATTTTCACAGGGCTGAGAGGGAAGATTTTCAAAAAGTTCATGTAAAAATGGCAAAAAATTATAAAAGTCTCAAGACAGGAGCTAGAGAAATGAAACTGTCTTACTATGGCTCAGATGGACTATAAACCAATACAGAATGCTAAATGGTAACTAACTGCAGGATCCAAGTTCAAGATTTCCCAAAATACTAGTACCTTTTCTTTCTTCACGTGATCCATGATTGTGCCAAGATCCTCAACATCAACCACAGAATCTGGGCTCCAACGGTCCCCAGCACCAAACTCTTCCTCACTGGTGTTGTCACAGGGCTCATCCTCCTGGAAGATAAGTGCTTCAGAACACACTGCTCAAAGCAGCAAATGCAGAGTTCTCTCACACTCCCTCCCACACTGAGAGTTCACACTCTTTAAACTTTTAATTCAAAAAAATCACCTTAGGTGTTTGGCCATCAGACTGATCACTGTGAAAGGGAGTCACAGAGTGAGAACAACCGACACCTCCCTGCCCTCCCACGTGAAGATGAGCTGGGCCGGACTCCGGGAGGGAAGCCCGTGCTGGGTGGAAGTGCAGGAACACGACATCGCTATGAAGGAAACTTTGCTGAGTATCTGCTATGTGCCCAGCACAGACTCTTCTCTATATACACACTCATTTAATCCTTAACTGCTTATGATGTAGATACCTTCAGTATCATCTTATAGATGGGAAATTAAGGGCTAGAGACGTTAAAAAATCACAGCTAGCAAGTGACAGGTACAGGCAAAGCCTTCACACCTTTCTCCAATGAGATGCTAAGGAAGAATCAAAGGATAAACAGATTCTTAAGAAGTGAAGTAGGGGCCGGCCCGGTGGCGCACTGCTACAGTGCGCCGCTTGGGAAGCGCGGCAGCGCTCCCACCGAGGGTTCGGATCCCACATACAGCCCGGCCGCTCACTGGCTGAGCGAGGTGCGGGAGCAATACCGAGGGTTGCGATCCCGTTGCCGGTCCCAGTCCGGTACGAGCGCGACACTGAGGGTTGCGATCCGTTGCCGGACACGAAAAAAAAAGACAAAAAGGAGGAAAAAAAAAAAAAGAAGTGAAGTAGCTGTTTGTTTTAAACAGCAGGCACTAACTAAATAACTCAAAAATTAATTCAAAGTTAAAAGAAACGATATTGATAACCTTCATGTGCTGGCCAATAGGCCCCAGAGTACAGCAGAGACACACCATACAGTCAGATGTCACTGATCAAGCATTCAATACAAAATAAAACAGCCCCTCTTCAAGGTCAGTCCTTGGCCTGCCTCACGATGTGACTCTCATGGGCGTTGTCACCATCTCTTACTCAAAACCAAGCCTGATCCTACAGAAGAGGGGCTGTGGCCAGCTCACTGTATCTTTTGCTTTGTCAATAAATGAGCAGACTTCTTTGTCTTGCTTCCAGATGACAAAAACACTCTTTCCAGAAACAAACGTATGGACGTGTTCATCAACCCATCCCAGCCCAGCTTCAACAGAAATCTCTGACAGTTAACTCCACCCTCATCTCCCAGCCTCATTCCCAAACTATCAAGAACAGAGAGGAGAATACCACCTGAAACACACTTTCTAACAATTAGTCAGTTTGTTAGATCTTCCAGTCCGGTGTTTCCAAACCAATGTGTCTAAACATTAGATTCTCCTGACAAAATTATTTCCTACAATTGTAACAAAAATCAGTACTGCCCATGTGTCCTGTGCTCCTACTTCCTCATTTCCAGTAAATTACAGAGTCTTAGACACAGAAGAGTCATCAGGGATCATCTAGTCCAATCTCCCCATCTTATCCTACATCAGAGGTCAGTAACTTTTTCTGTAAAGGCCCAAATAGTAAATATTTCTGACCTTGCAAGAGATACAACCTGCATCTCAATTATTCAATTCTGCCACTCTAACATGAAGGCAGCTACGACAATACATAAATAAATAAGAATGGCTGTGTTCCCAACACCTCTATTTAAAAAAACAGGCAGCAGGCTGGGTTGGCCAATGAACCAGTGTGCTGACCCCTGTCTTAGACTCTCCTCTAGACATTCTACTCAGAACCTCAGAGTTTCTGGCACAAAGTCATGTCAGGGATTTACTGCCTCCCAAAAGAACCCACTTCATTTTCACATAAAACCTAATCACAACTGCTACTAACTTGGGTCTATGACCTTCTAAAACGTCACAGTTCTCTTTGACAAACACTAAATACATTTCATGGTAGGGACTAGGGCTAGAAAATCAGTGTAACACATTCCCCTAGTCCTCAGAAAGATTCAAATCCAGCAACAGAGACACACACACACACACACACACACACGTATACTGTAGAGTAGTAATGCTTTAATGAAAAGGTTTAGGAAAACAAAAAGAAGCCATGTAGCCTGGCTCAAAAACCATGGGAGGTTGCCCAAGTGGGATGACACCTGGCCTAGCCAGGGAAAGATCGGGGGAAAGCTGGGGGAGATGGACAGGCAAAGGCACTTAGGCAAGTGGCATGAGGCATGCTGCAGCTATAAGCAATTCAGAAATGACCAGTAGATAAAGAGTAAGGCAGACATCACAGGGAGAAAATGCTACAGAGGAAGACACAGGCCAGACCACATATGTCCTGGAGGGAGAGGATGGGAAGCTTCTTAAGTGGTCTAAACAAAGAAATAATATAGATCTGCATTTCAATAGCTCACTCCACAGGGAACACAGAATATAACGTAAGAGAGACAAGACTGCAGACTAGGATAACCAAACAACTTACTGCAATACTCTAGGGAAGAAAAGATGCTGGCCTAAACTAAAGAGCAACAGGAGAGCAGATGATCAGATGTTCAAACTCATTTGTCATTCAAAAGATATTTTCAACACCATGGAGACCAGTGTGGCAAAAAGCTTGGTGAGGAAGAGAGAGAATGGTAGAATGAGGAGACATCCAAGAGTCAGATTAGTTGTGAAGGTCATGCTAAGGAATGTGGCTTTTATTAAAGCAGCAATGGGAAATCATTTGAGGCATTTACACAGGACAATAACACGATCTAATTGTGCTTTTAAAATTACTTTGAATGTTGGATGGGGAACAGATGGCAGAAGGCGGAAAGTAGTGTCCTATAGTAGTCTAGTTAAGAAATATGGCTTGATCTTGCAGGTTAGCAGTAGATATGGAGGGAAATGGATGAATTTGAGATATTTTAGGCCAGAGGTCAGCAAACTATGTTCCACCAGCCAAATCCAGCCAGCCTCAAGCCAAACCTCAACAGGACCATTCATTTACTATTTGTTGTCTATGGCTATTTTCTTAATACATTGGCATTGTTGATAGTTGCAACAGAAACCATAAAGCCCTCAAAGCGGGAAATATTTACTAGTTGGCCCTTTACAGAAAAAGTTTGCTGGCCTCTATTTCAGACTTACTGGGAAACTAAATGCAAGAAATCCAAGCATGGCTCTTAGGGGCTAGGCAGTTTGCTCAGCTGGTTAAAGCGCAGCCTTACAACACCATGGTCACAGGTTCAGACTCCTGTACCAGCCATCCACCAAAAACAAAAAAGAAAACAAAAGAAAAGCATGGCTCTTAGGTTTCTTTTTTTAAGCAACTGAGATAGTGGTAGTGTTCACTAAGATGAAAACATAAGGGAGGAATAGACTGGGAGAGTGAAAATAAAGAGCTCTATTTGGATTTGTAAAGTATGAGACATCTTAGACACACAAGAACAAATTTTGAAGAGGATTCAGGGTGGAACTCAGAGCTGGAAATACAAATGTGGGAATAACAGGCACACAGACAGTGTTTAAAGCCATGAAACTAAATGAGATCATCCAGGAAGAAAGTATCAACACAGAAATAACCGAGCACCAAACACTGAATCACTCCAACATTTAGAGGCTGAATAAAGATGATCCCAAGTAAAAAGGGAGAAAATCATGGGTATGATGTCATGAAAGTGAAGAGGAAAGTGATTCAAACGAGGAAGTAGCTGCATCCAGTGCTGTGGAGAAGTCAAGCAGGTGAAGAGAACCACCTGCCAGGCTTCACAACATGAAGTCCCCCAGACGTGGAAAAGAGCAGCCTCAGCAGGGTCAGAGCCAAACTGGAGTGTATAAGAGTTAACTGGGACTTTGGTTACCAGCCATATGGCAGATTCGATACCTTATCCAACTCTCCTGCAGAAAACAACCAAAACTGAAGAATAAAAATATTTTTAAAGCACAATTTTAAATGCATCACCAAGTTGGCAAAAATGTCAAAATCCAAAGAGGCCAAATATGAACTAAAAAGGAAATTCTAGGAGGTAGGTGAGAGATGGAGCTGAGAGTATCTGCTGAACTCTGGAGACCCTGCTCTGACAGCTGCACAGGAGATTGGAAGAGGAGGTAAAGTCCAGGAGAGGCTGCGAGGAAGAGATCAAACCCAAGACCAGAATCACAGCTGCAATTCCCTATGGCCACGTGCTTCTTGTAAAGGTAAACTAGAAACGAACTACATAAAAGAAAAAACCTGGGCCAACCCCGTGGCACACTCGGGAGAGTGTGGCGCTGGGAGCGCAGCGACACTCCAGCTGCGGGTTCGGATCCTATATAGGAATGGCCGGTGCGCTCACTGGCTGAGCGCGGTGTGGGCGACACCACACCAAGGGTTGCGATCCCCTTACCGGTCACGAAAAAGACAAAAAATAAATAAATAAAAGAAAAAACCTGAAGGGGAAAAAGAATCTGATTTTCAGAATTAACACATTATAACATTCAAAATTTCCACTTTTTAACAAAAAATTATAAAGCAAAGAAACAAAAATTATGGAAACGGTCTGCTATGGTTTGAATGTGTCCCCTCCAAAGTTCATGTGTTGGAAACTTAATCCCCAATGCAACAGTGTCAGGAGGTGGGACCTTTTGGGAGGTGTTTAGGTCATGAGGGCTCCACCCTCATAAATGGATTACTGATGCTATAAAAAGGGCTGTGCAAATGAGTTCATTCTCTCTTCCCCTTGCACATTCTGCCACGTGAGGACACAGCAAGGAGGCCCTTGCTAGACACCAGATGCCACTACCTTGATCTTGAAGTTCACAGACTACAGAACTGTAAGAGAATAATTTCTATTCTTTATAAATTACCCAAACTCAGCTATCCTGTTACACCAGCACAAAATAGACTAAAACAATGTCCCTGAGGAAACAAAGACATTAGACTTATTACATAAGACTTCAAGTCAACTATCTCAAATATGCTCAAAGAACAAAAGGAAACCATAAAGAGCTAAATCAAACAGGGAGAACAGTATCTCAGCAAAGAATATCAACAAAGACATAGAAATTATAAAAAG